CCGCAAAAGCTGGACTCCCTCACCTTACAAGAACCTTTCGAAGTCAACTCGTCAGGTCAAACAATTCTGGTATTTGTGTTCCCTGAAGACTGACTTAGTAGTTGGAGATCATCTGGGCAAGCGGGCACTGAAAGTGAAAGCCCTTAACCTCTCGAGCCTTCAAGAAAGCACGCGCTCTCACTCCGGGTCCTTCTGCGCCTCGCCTCCCTTCTTGGGGCGCTTGCGCTCTGGCTCACCCTCATCCTGCGACTAGGGTTTGCTTCGGGCACCTTACGATCTTCTCCAAATAACAATGAACAACACCGTGATTGAAGTTGAAGTAAAGGCAGCAGTGGCTGGAGGTCGAGGCTCGAAATCTAGAATGGCGCATCCTTCGGATCCCTCAAAAACAGGCCGACATGCCCCGCCGCCTGCTCTTGGGGGCACGCAAAGCTAGACACAGAGGTGCGCGCAAGCCATAAATCCTTCACATCCTAAACTTTTCGAAATGCCGCTGCCCGCAGCCCTAGCCTTCTCCACCCGAAATCTCAAAAATCTGAAGTCCCCTCCAAGACACCATAAGACACCCTAGGCCCTGGATCCGGCGGCCTCCAGCTCGAAGAAGTGGACCTTTCCCAGTCCCGAAGGGCCGAGGCTGCAGGAACTTAGGGTCTACAGAATGGTTTGGTGTTGAGGCATTGCAGGGCTTGGGGTTGTGGGATGGCTTTATTCGGTTTCAAAACCAAAGCAACTCGAAGCCTGGGGATCATGGACGTACTGCTTGCCGTCGAAGACAAACCAAGGCAGGTTCGCACCTGCTGCAAGTAGGGTTTCGGCGTTTAGGGTTTAGGGCTTAGGGTTTGAGACCTTCAATAACACACCCATACACCGACAACCTCGCCATCACCCCACCTATCGGCGCCAGTTGTTTCGGGTCGTTGGCGGGCGCATACGCATAGACATCCGCATGGTCGTCAAAGCGATCGCTGATTTTCCACCTTCAGGGTTGAGATTGGGCCTCCTTCGCCCTTCTCCTGTTTTTTGGGATAAGAAAACTTACAACAACTTAGGTTGCAAATTAACAATCCATTTGTAGACCACCACCAAGGTAGTCAGAGTCTGGGGATTTCGTGTGTTCAGGGCATGTCAACGTAAGCAAGGCGAGCGTCTGGAAAAGCGGATTGCTGTAGAAGAGGACGCGGTGCTCATTCGGGTCCTCCTGTAGGGCCGGGAGCTGATGCAAGTTTGGTTTCGGGTTTGGGGTCTTGTTTACATTTAGGGCACCGAGCCACGATTTCCGAAGCCAAAGGGATGAGGAGGCTGCTGGTTTCATGGGTAGATCGGTTGGAGTAGTAGAGTGTAGGACTCAAGCATTTAAGTGGTAGGGGTCTTGGGTAATGAAAAGTAGGGATGTCTCTGCAATTAAGCATAGGTCTAGTTCCGGAAGGCCTCGCAACAGCCCGCATGAGTTTCGGCTCGAGGTTTCCTAATGGCGGGTACCGTATGAATCTTGCTGGCCTACTGGAATTCACCGCGAGGCATGAAGGAAAAAACTGGGCATCACGTTCAGCGAACCACTCACAAAAAGAATCTACCTCGTGGCTTGGCAGTCCAAAGATCACTGCCCCCTCATACTGCATGCAACACTAGATGATCACATGATGGGGCCCCGGGCACTGGGCTTCTCCCAGCAGGGGCGACCGTGAAAGAGGTTGGTTTTATCTTTGACCTGAGCACAGGTATAGGCTATAGGGGTACCACATGGTACCACCTTCCAGAAAGCATCTAGCAGCTTTATGGCCTAGGGTGTACGGTTGTTGGAAAAGCAGGTACGTGGCCACGTGCATCCATTCTAGAACGCCTGGTCTCCCGTAGTTGAACTCAAGTCTAGCGCGCAGAGATATGTCTTCAACCATGGATATGTCAAGGACTACAAAGCGCTCTTGCACCAAGCATTCCGTATCGGATGCAATTTCTCTGGGCAAGAAACGAAGCACCAAGCCCAAAATCGTCCCGAAGCCCTCCACACAAAGCACTGAAAGCAAGCAATGGAGCTTCCCAAAAAAAAAAACTGAGCCCCTAAGGAGCTGACGAAGTAGGTGCCGTTGATGGAGGCGTTGGGCAGGTGCTTCGCTCGTCCCTCGATCTTCCCGTTGCCAAGCCACCTTCGAAACTTCACTCCGGCAACAACATGCTCCAAAGACTCCTTTGCCAAAGCGACTTGGTCCAGTGAATGCGTCAGGCGTGGGACAGAAGGGTGAGGAGAGCAGCTGAAGTATTGAGTTCAGAGTTCGGAGCGCCAAGTGAGGCTTTACGGTGTAAACTTTAAAATTCGGAATCCGGGGTTGCAGAAAAGACAAGGGGCTTCTTCTTGCGGCTCTTCGATGCAGGCAGCTCATCCTTTGGCCTCAAGCAAGGGATTCGAAGCCTGAACCTCTCTCCCCTAGACCCCTTAGGAATTAGTAGAGAATGTCATTTATGTCTTATGGCAGCTGAACAGGTAAGACAAGCTTTAACGGTGTTTTCGTTCTCATATACGTAACGAGGAACGAAGATCTCATGCTTCATTGTATTTGAGAATTACACGTCTAGTTTCAGATGGTATAAGGCTTTACTGAGAAAATATGTTGTATTCTATTTGTTAAGACATCGAGAGATTTTTCGATATGGGGGATTATCTTAGACTTTTTGTCTTAAGATAATCATGAAGGATACGACTTACATACTCATACTCAAGACTTCGCCCCTACATCCTGCCTTTGGCTGCCCTAAACCCCTTCCTCTACCTACTCTAAGCCATCGAACCTGAGGTCTGAAGACTCCCGTGACCCCAAGACGGAGGACTGCGGGGCAGGCGGAAGTTGCCTTGAGCCCAAGTAGAAAGTCCGGCCCCAGACACCCCAGCGCTGCCCAAGCCACTCTTCATCCACTGCCGGCGCTGCCGCGTGCGACACGTCTGGCGCAGCTGGCGCAGATGGCGCCGCGGGCGCCGCGGGCGCCGCGGGCGCAGCGTCGAAGGTCAGACCCAGAGCCTCGAGGCAAGGAGCAATTAATTGTAGATTAGAATACACCTCACTGACATCGCAACAACCTAAACCCGAAAACGACAGCAAGAAACCCCAAGCCACAACTGAGCACTCCGACGGCGCTGAGTGCTGCATCTGCGGCCTGATCACCGGCCTGGGCCTGGGCCTGTCCGTAGCATGACTGTATAGAGGGCGGGGAACTGGGGAACTGGGGCTTAGTACGTCGAAGCAGCATCTCGTCGAAAAATATGGCAGAATCAAGGAAGTACGTAAACGTGACCGCACACAAGGGTTTGCGTTCGCTTTAACCCGACCCCAAGTTCACAAGACCCCAAAATCAAATGGCCTCCAGAAAAAAAAACCGAGCTCCCTTCGAGCCTAAGGCCTGTGACCCTCGCACCAATCAGCCTTCTGACAAAGCATGTACGCCCCCAAAACCCTAAGGCCCTTTCGCCCAAAAGCTTTGAACAGCTGTGCGCCTTGTCCTCATTGATGACAGCCTCACTTTGGGGCACCTCCATCAGTTTCCGCTTTGGGGCTTTTTAGCACGATGTCTGAGTTTATGATTTAGGGCGGGTGCAGAGACTCGAGATCCACCGGATGAGTTCTCCGTGGGGTGAAAGAGTGTAGGGTCCACCATCAAGGGCGAAGGCCGCAGTTGCCAATCATGTCTGCTGAAGCCCAGTGCCAATGCACGGCTTCTAGGGGTTCGGGTTTGAGGCTCAGGGTTGCGGTTGAAAAGACCTGTTTAAGAGTTAAGTTTCCAAGGACCGCGTTGGGGGAGGACTCGACCTCACACTCGCCCAGCATGGAGCCCTGATCCCGTGAACCGCCCGGCAGGCCTGATCCTTCTCCTGCGGGGACGTTGATGCACTTTGGGATTTGGATCGTACTGGTACAGGCTACGGCTACTTGAAGGGCTTGTTCTCAGTTCTCATGATTGTTGTTTTGCTTATTGATTCCGTTCATGGGGCAACTTCTGAGTCCGGGCTCAGAAAAGCAATGCAAGCGCTCTTTTCCCCAGACTTTTTTCAAATGGATTGGTTGCGTCTGTGCACTTCAGCACGACCAAGAACACCTCTGTGAAACTGCTTTTGACCAGCGCTGGCATCGGTTGCTGGCCTATACCCGTTGCACGCCCGCTTGACTTGAAGACTTGAACGCCGTAGGGAATGTGAGCGTTGAAGTGCTGACTACTATTCAAATATTTGAAGTCAGCAAAGCTGCACAGTTCAACATATTGCAAAACACTAGGTGGAAGAGCGTGCATGCCGTTGTTTCGTCAGCCGAGAAAAGCTCACACAACAAGGGGCCGAAGCCAACGTTCGGTCGATAAGGATGCAAATTCACAGCGCTCAAAATCCGGCGCTGCTGAGGCACACGCACGCAACTTCTTCCGCTGATGGCAGCACGAACCCGTAGCAATCTGCCCTGCGAGGGGGGCGATGGCAAAACCCCTAAGCTCCAAAGGCATCGAAACCAAGCGCTTGGCTTGGATGTGCCGCGATTTACTTCTGTTTCTTCGTCTTCCGGCACCCAGTCCTTGTCCTGCAAAGTCAAGCTGAGACACGGCACAGGGAGGGCAAGGTAGGGGAGCGTGTTTGACATGAAAAGCTCTCCTTCTGGCTCTAATGCATTTCAAGCGTCCAAGATTGACATTTACAATAAATAAATGTCGATCTTGGACGCTTGAAATGGAGACAAGGAAGGTTCGATTGCCTGCAGCAATAAGCGCTCAACACGTCAGAGGGGCATATAGTCGCTGACCGGATACTGAGCGCCCATCAGGCGGATGGCTCTTGAGTGGAAGCCCTCCCTCACAACGGTGCCGCCAATGATGACCCGGTCAGGACTGCTCTTCTACCGGCCCGGCCGTGCAAGACCCGCCAGTCCAGAATCAGCATTTGCCCCTTGCCAATGGGCACCTCCACTTCGAACTCTGGCCCATGTATCATCTCAGCAAAGAGGGTAAAGGTGCAGGCCTTGTACCACTGCTCAAAATGGTCGAAGGGAACGGTACTTGGAGTTCTGAAGACCTGGCTTCCAGCATGGTCCGTCTGGATGATGGGTTGCTTTGTCGTGATGAGCATTGTCTGGGTGCCCTCCTGTGCTGAGTCCACCCTGGACCTGATGAAGTCTCTCTCTTGGCAGTTGCTGTAGGTGGACAGCAACTTGAAGGCGTCCGGGTCGCGCTCTCGCAGCGCCTCCGTCAGGAATGCGAAACAAGCCTCGCAGCCTCTGGTTCAGATTGCCCTGCCGCAGCACGAAGGCTTGTGCTTCCAGTTCACTTGCCACTGCAGTGATTGCCAGTGTGGTTGCAACCAACATCGCGACCATCAGCTGCTCTATGTCGGTGCCCCTCACCGGCTTTTCAGGCACGTTGCTTGTCTGGGCGTTTGATATGAATGTGTTGTTGCGGGTGTCCAGCTTCTTCTTAATTTGCTCTACGGGCTGCGATACATGTTGGTTGACATCACCAGTTCGTCCACTCAGACCATAACTTCCCCGCATTCGAGAAGCTGAGCATAAACCCCAAAGCTTTCTCAACATTTGCAGCGCGCTCAAAGAAAGCAACCCACGTTCCTTGGACCGACGAGCCTCGAAAATCCTTCTGCCGCCTGTGTAACCCAGTCTGGTGCAATAGCACGCGCAGGAATCCACATCTTCGCACGATTGGGCGCGCAGAAGCTATAAGGGTATCTGAAGCGTTGCACCAACAACAAGATCACAACTGTCACCACGCTTCTTCTTTGCACGCATCCCATTGCTTCAGCTACTCGAAGCCATTCAATGCTAGGGGGACACGTTGCAAGCACATACTCCTTATAAAGATCAATGAAAGTTCGTTGCGCATGCTTTACCGTTTTGGGCATGTTGCGTGCACCTGCATATGCTTGGTGTTTATTCGCGAAACAAACTGAAGCAAACTAATTACGCAATCGGGTGCCCAGTTTGCTTGTCGCGCTGGATGTATTCGATGGGGTTCCTTTGCGGTTGCCTGATTCCAAGCTCTTGATAGCGTAGTATCTGGACTCAAAGCCTGCTATCGCTGCCGCGTCTTGTATCCTACGCGCTGAGCATACCACTAACTTTGAAAAAACAAAAGTTGAAACTCGGCTCCGCCTGAGAGGGGTTTGGTTTGGGGTTTAGTGTTGAAGAAGCCAGAAGGGCTCCGTGGCTGAGCCCGCCCTCAAGCCCACCATTGAACCTCAATCCCAACTCCAATTCGCGAGACCGCCCTTGCTCTCCAAACTCCTCGAACTCGATACACCCTAACATCCCACACTCCTTGAAACGCTCGAAGCCGCTCGAAGCTGCTGAAACTCCCTGAATCCTACAGCCCTCGTCCCTATCTGAACGTCTTGCTCTCCGCTCCGGCTGCTCCTTCTCCGGAGCCTTGGGCGGCAAAGTAGACCTGGGCCACACCGGCGCCCGCCCGCCGTGGCACCTTTGCAGCTGTCTTTTGGATTTACATGCTTTTGGCGTTTGGGATTTGGGGTTTGGGGCGTGGCAAGTAGCGTGAGGCCGGTTTGTACAGATTGCATCGTTTCTCCAGGTCTCAGCTCCTCAGGGATACATTTTTAGGCTCCGTGCCCCAAACATTTGCGTGGTTGTGCGCCGCATTCGCAGTCGCTATAGGGCCTAGCGATCACACTCGGAGTGATGAGTTTTTGGCTTTGAGTAAGCCAACAATCCAGACCTTGATCTATCCCTAAACTGCCCTCACTTTAAACCCCAAACCTCCAATCAGGCCAAACTGGAACCCGAAACCGAAAACGTCTAAGACCTCAAAGCCCAACACCACAAAGCCCTGGCCCTGCAAAAGCCCAAACCGAAACCCTAGATTCCCCAAACCCTAGAGCCTCTACCCCTAAAACTCTAAAGCCCTAAACTCCTTAAAGCTTTGAAACCCTAAAGCCCCATGCCACGTCGTGCCTAAACGCCAGAATATATGTGCAGTATATGTGCGATGCCCGGAAAACCTCAACCTCTGAGACCGAAACTATGATGGTACACAATCCCCAACTCACGGGTCAATAGGGCTGCCACTGTCGAAAGAGGTTGTCCCGCAGCACGGTGACCTGTCAAGGTCATGGCTTAGGGTGTAGGGTTTTCGGAATGTTGTACTGCAAGTTCAGGCCGTAGAATCTTATGCAGCGATGTATGAGTATGGGGCTTTGGGCCCTTAATACTGAACGGCCTCGGCCTTCGACACACCCAACTCCAGCTGCTCGTAGCAGATCTCTGCCTCCAAGGCAGCGTTTGGGGGTTTAGGGTGTTTTGAGGGTTTGAGGGTGTTGGGGGTGTTGGTGATTTTGAATTCTGGGTTTGGGACCGAAATTAAAGACAGCACTGGGCGGACCGATTCCATCATTATCGGAAAAACACAGGCCTGTTACCCAAGCCCCGGTGCCTCAACTCCCCCCCCCCCCCCCCGTGGACCTGAGTGGACCCCTCGGAATTCAAAGAGCCGGTTCAGCAGCAATTCTTCTCAACAGGCCAAGGCACGATTCGCTCGGCAAGGTCAGACCGGCCGGTCGCCTTCTTGACCGACACCTGCACGCTTCAGGTTGAGGGTTCGAGGTTCATGGATAAGGCATCACTAGGGCCAACACCTGGATGTCTGCCTTGACGGCGCCGTTGAACCTGACAGAAATCAGGTTCGAAAAGGTGGAGTTTAGAGCGCAGGGTCTGGTTTTGAGAGTTGAGCCATCCCCCCCGCTTGCACCTTGTACCCCATCCACCCCACGCCATTGTGGCTAAGGGGCTTTCGGGTTGAGGAGCTGCTTAGGTTGACAGAGGCAGCACAAGGTGAGCGCTCTAAACTAGGGTCCCCCCTTCTTGGGGGTTCTTTTGTGATACTGTGCCATGCGAACGAACCCTGAAAAGAAAGCCCTGGGACCAAAGTCCACAAACACTGAAAGAGCGGAAGCGCCTCAGAACACGAGTCGCGCGCTCAAGCTCTCAGGATGCTTCGGGTTGTCTCAAGTGACTCAAGTCTCAGTGTGAGGGCTGAGGGGTTTCAACGCGTGCGGCCCGGGTGGCTTGATGATGAAGGCATCCCGGATGGTGTTGTACTTTGCCCGACCCTTGGCCTGGCAGGCTTCAGGCATTTTAGTCTGCTGTTTCACTAAGGGGACTGTAAATCGTACACAGTGTGCGTTGGGAACTCTGGTCCCGGGCCTGGCTATTGTCTGAGAGCTGGCCCAAGTCATCGGGTTTCAGCGGCATTCCTTTGCGGCTGCTGGCTTCAGGAAGGGATGTACAGTAGGGGAAAAGAAAAGGCTTTAGCGTGCTTTAGTCGTCTTGGGGCTTCTCCTCACAAAGCTCGACGCAGTGAACCTCTAACTGCAACTATCCGAATCCTTGGTCTGAGCCATCAGATTCTTACCATGGGCCCCCGACAGCCTGCCCATCGAGAGCAAGGGCCGATCGGAGATCATGTGGGCACGTTGGCCCTACTTTGGCCCTACTTCGCTCTGCACCCAGGACCTCATGCAAGCTTCTCGCATTGATTGAGCTTAGGCTTCAGGGCTCAAGCCGCTAGAGGGGGCTCAGGTCTTTGGTTGCAGCGCTGCTTTGGACCACAGGTTGTCCATGGTTTTGTTTGGGGGGTTCACCCAACCGCTTCCTGGGAACGCGGAAGTACTGTAAAGGGCTCAGGGTTTCGTGTTTGGGTGTGGTTTGTACATGTTATGTGGTTTGTACATGCTATGTGGCTTGAGCCATGTGCTCGACGAAAGGTTTGGGACTCGGGAGCCCGGAAGCTACACCATGCGAAGTACACTCGACAAGGTTCTCCCTAAACCCTTTCACTGTCAAGCTTTAAACCCAAGCCGCCTCATCCCTAAGTCAAACTCCCCAAACCCTGGAAACGCACCTCCAACCTGCAATATTTCCGGAGCTTGGGACTCTCCCTTTGATTTAGACTCGATATGAAGATGCAATGATATTTTATGCATTGGTTGACAATGTGGCCAATGTAGTTGTCATGCAAATGAAGCGTACAAACACGCATGCTCGACTGTGTATGTGAAGTGTTGCATGGAGGCAGCCGTCGAGTTTGAAATAAAGACAGGTATGATTCCAAAGCTTGGCAGTTGCAGAATAACATCAGTCTGCTTGTTGTGTTATCGGGCTTCGGTCTTCATTAGGATTTAGGTGAATGCTACAGGACACAAGTTTCAGAGCCGCCCCGAAACGCTGAACCTACAAAACACCCCGCCCAAACTCCGAACTCCCCGGGCTCACAGGGCCAAACTTGGAGAAGAATCGCCGCAGCCGCTCCTGTCGATGTGAAAGTGGATGCACAAAGGGGTTGGGGCCGCTGCGAAAGTGCCCTTCTGGCCAAAATCAGCATGCTGCCTTTCAGGATCGTTTTGCCATGACATTAGAATCATTAGACTCGGGATGTCTGTGGAGGCCATCAGGAACAGCAAGCTCGGGGGGACGCGGGCGGAGGTTTAAACAAGGGAGCTTCGGCTCAAGGAAGCCCACCGAAGCCCCCGGGTGTCTCGCGATTTCTCCTTCCAAGACTCAGCGCACCCTGAGGCCCGAGGGCCCGCTGACCTGAACCAATCGCAAGATAAAAATGCGCCACTAAGCCAGTCCTGCACGTACTCGGGCGTCTTACCTGGCTTTGTACAAGCTGGGGTTTCAGGTTCAGGCTCGACTTGTAGGCCCTGCATTTGCCTCACACTCTACCAGATTTCCTCGAAGGCCTCGAAGGTCCATGCAGAAGAACCCAGAAAAGCCCAACATGAAATAGATCCTGCAGACAAGCGGCCTAGAGGCATGCCCTTCAGCTCGAGGGTATGCTCTCCAAAAGTTCGGAGGCCCTCGTAGCCTCGGGGTTGGGGAGGCTTCTGGGGGCCGATGTAGCGGCAAAAATCTCAAGCTTGGGGGTTTGGGTGGCTGTGAAGTGTTGGTTTTTGAGTTGAGTGGAGGCGTGGATGTTGATAAAGAGGTAGTACCGCAAGCTTCGAAACCTAAGTCCCGAACTCTACATCCCACGCACTCGACCCTGAACTCTCAACCCTGCTTGGAAGTTCCAGGCAGCCACAAGGGATTTCGTACCTCGTCTAAGCTAAGGCTACGGTGACAGCCACCCCTATGTCCATTGCCCAAAACACTTCCAACCAAACTCACATGCACGCTGACACAAGGCCCGTTTTGCACTTCACAGGTTCAGCTGCAGCTGGCCACAGGGAGTCCCTACGCGCGCTCGGGTTGCACAAGAAGACCTCCACAAGTCCAGCCATGAAAGTCCACCGTAAGCATGTGCTAAGTGCCTGTAGCGCGCACCAAAAGCTTTCCGAACTGCCAAGCAAGCCATAGACCAATCTGGGAAAAGTCCCTTCCCTCTTGCTTCAGCACCATTTGAGGCGCCCACCGTCCTCAGGTTCGTCAGCGTACCAGTTGAACGGCTTCCCAGTGACTTTGGAGACCTGCTTCAATTCAATGTTTACGTCCTTCTGAGGTTTGGCATTTGGGGTTTGGGGACTCTTTAGGACTTTGAGGATGTAAAGAGGGCTGAGGGCGTGGCGGCA